CCTCCAATGATGCTATTGCTTCGCAGGACAAAACACAAAGGAATTCCAGTCATTCTGGTTGCTCTAGATTGGCCTCGCAGGGTGTGGTATGTTGATTTGGTTCAGAAGATCCCTGGCTTCTTCCAGATCTTATCTCAGGGCCCAGTCTTCCTCCCTTCTTCTCGGCTGGTGGCTTTAACAGCCTGGCTGTTGAAACCCAAGTGTTGAAAGACAAAGAAATCTCAGATTCTGTTAATTTTACTATTGTTAATGCTCGTTTATCTTCTACTCAGATTTGTCATCGTATGTGGAAGTTTATTATCGTTGGTGTGCACCCTGGGAGTGTTTTTATACTGTGAATTTTGTTTTTCCTTCAGCTTGAGGTAGATCAATGTTTTAGCTCTAAGTACCATAAAGGATCAGATATCCGCCTTGTTGGTCCTTTTTCAACCTCATCTTGCTTGTAATTCCTTTATTCATACTTCTATTCGGGGAGTTCCATGTGTGGCTCATGTTCGTCTCTTCCTCCTTCGTGGGATATCAATCCAAGTTATTTCTTTGTCTTTGTTATTCAAAAAGGTTACCTTTTCTTGTGTATATTACCTCGGCTAGAAGGGGTTCTGCTTTGTTTTGTGGAGAACCCTATTTGGTTCTTCATAAGGTCAAAGTTGTTTCAAGACCACCTTGGTTAAAAAGGAAACCTGCGGTTTCGAACTTTCATTTGAATAAAAACATTGTTTTACCTTTTACTTTTGTCCTGCTCCTGTTCATCCTTTCTCTTCATTGTTTGGATGTTGGGTGGGCTGTTAGCTATCAGCTACAGTTTTTTTTGGGAGTTTGGATTTTTTATTTGTTTTAACTGAAGGTCTTAGAAAAGGTTGTTCAGTTTCTAGATTTGCTATTTCTAAGTAGATTCATCAGGTTGTCATTCAAGCTTATGAGTTGCCGGATAAGATTCCTCTTTTTTTTTAACTGTTTCTGTTAATTCTACCATGGCAGTTAGTAGGCTTTTCTGTTCACACATTTTTGATAAGTTTTATAAAGGTGATGTTTCTGTCTCTTCTGATGTTAGTTTTTGCAGGAAAGTTCTTCTGGAGTCTGTTTGAGCATTGAGCTGGTTCTTCTAATTGTCTCACAGAAATGAACTTAGTTAGTGGTCACTAAGATAGGAAATGTGGGAAAATCATCCACAGATTCTAAAAAAAGTTCCACTTTAAGGCCAATTTCACCAAAAACAAACTGCTTTTTGCATGGCTTCTCATCAGTTGAGTCACATGCTGGTTTCTTGTCTCCCTGGGCCTCCTTTTGAGATATAATCTCCAACAGAGTTTCCTATGAGTAGATGGCTCCACCATGAGCTAGTTTTTATTGCAGTCTGTGGCTGCTCTGTCACTTCTAAAAACTTTTAAATATGCCCCCCCAATGTTTCATCTTGTTTTTTTTGCTGGGGTCTCCATCTACTGCTATTAAACTCATGATGAGTGGAGCGATTGGTGACCTTGAAATTTAGCTTCACCGATCCCTTATTGGGTTACCTGATTTCGATACTGTTCCTGGCTGTGGCAGAAGTGGATTAAAGGGAAGTTCCACCAAAATAAATGTACACTTTATAATAAACAAATGTGCATAGGAGCTGCCAGTAAAGCACTGCAACTGTGATAAGTGGATAACGGGTGCAATGTTTTGGCACCTGCAGACTTTTCCTCCTGTCCATGTCTGTACCGAAGTATGGACATTCATTCACATGGAGGAAGAATGAATGGACTACAAGTGCTGTGATGCTACTCCATTGAGAACTATAAGTTCCTCTGTCGCGGTGGCTGATGGGACTGTGTGGAGTTTTGCGCAGCAACGCCGAATTAATACAAGTAGGTTGGTGGGCAGGAGGTGGGGTAGATTGCGATGTGACCATGTTTCACCCTGAATATGAGTGTAACTTAAAACATTGTCAAAAGGTAGATTTAAGCTGCTGCAGATATATGAGGGCAAATGTAGGTTCTATTAGACCCCTAGTGTCACCTTTTCTCTACAAAGAAGCTATTCAAGCTCAGATCATGTTTGAATAGCTTCTCTAGCCGGGGAATGACAGCTGAGGAGACAGAATTGATGCAAGCAGCTGTGCTTTTGGCTCCATTCAGTGGGGTGGAATTCACCAAACAGATGTTCAATCGTCTCTCTCCACGCTTTCTGTCGACACCCTCGATGCTGGTCCCAGGCCTGCAAGAGGGGCAGTGGAGCTCTGGGGGATCCTGTTTGATGGCCCTTGGAAGCCATCAGAATCGCTTCAAGCCGACAGTCAGCTTTAAACAGGTAAACAGATGGCCTCTGGGGATACAGTGCTCACATCAAAAGGATTAATGTTTTGAGGTTTTTCTTTTTTTGATTCACGTTAGTCACCAGTAATGGTGTGTATCCCACCTCATCAAGGCTTCTACTTCATTACTCTTCCCTAAATGCCACCAGCTATACCCCAGAGCAAATATCTCCTGGTGCCCTGAGGGTGAACACCAGCAACTATCAGTGTTGTGCCGCTTGCTTGACAATTCCTGCTCTCTCCTCCTTTGTAGAGCTCATACTATTATTGTTCCACAATGCAATCCACTCTGTGAAGGAGGAGATCCTGTTCTTCATTTGCTCCCCGTCCATTCACGGAGCGTATTCATCTGCTCATCCTCCATTCACTGTGTGTTCCGCATTAAAGGCACACATTGCTACACTTCTACAATCATTGATTATAGTATGAAATTCATTTTTTTTTTGCAAGGAGTGTAATTAATTGTATCTGACATGGTGTAAGCCTCTTGAAGACCCTGTACAGCACAGCACAGCTCAGAGAGGAGGGGGGAGAATTATCACAAGGAGCCAATCAGGTGTGCTGCAGTGTAATGAGCATACTGATGAGAGGAGAGAGCAGTGACAGAGAGATGACCTCATCAATGTGCTGCTTCTCCTCTTCCCCAAAGTGGCAGTGGGAAGGGGACCTTGGAGTGAAAGGGAAATTACAACAGAGAAAGATCACACCCCCTCCACTGCTAGACAGAGCTGTGCTGTGTAGCAGAACTGAGTAGATGTCAGGAGTGGCTGGACAGAACTACAAATCATTTGGCAGGTAAAACAGCTCCTATATAGTGATGGGCCGAACACCCCCGTGTTCAGTTTGTATTCGAACAGCCGAAAAGTTTGTATACGAACTCAAACCTAATGGTAGTCAATAGGGGTCAACTCTTTAGATCTGGTAGGAATGTTAGGAGGGACCATTATTTTAATTTTTTTAAATAGCGTAGGGTTCCCTCTAAAAGTCATACCAGGCCCTTAAGGTCTGGTAGGAATTTTAAAAAGGACCCCCACCCCCAAAAATGGGGGGGGGGGGGACATGGGGTCCTCCCTAAAATTTCACACCAGACCCTTGATCCGAGCATAGGCTTGGCAGGACCGGAAAGGAGGGGGACGAGCGAGCTCCCCCTCCCACACGCCCTCGGCCACCCCCCTACTCCTACCCATTCACTAAAGGGTTAAATAAAATAGTTGTGAAAAAGTCCAGACTTTTGATAAAATCCTTTTGTCTTGTCTTGCGAGGGTTGTAAAGTACTTTAAAAAACGTACGATCTGCCCATCTTGGACAGGCAGATCGTACTTGCAATCATCGCAAGCCCTCACCCCTGAGGGGCGGGCTTCCGATGACTGCAATGCTCAACGGGCAGTGTGCGCGTGCGGCAGTCATCTCTCGATCATTTTAAAAATCAGCCGAAAATCGTACGATTCTCGGCTGGTTTTCCAACATGCTTGAAATACAACAGTCGTGCGACCGTACATTAGAAACAGTTGCATGCCTTCCATACACTGCATGATTCTCGTACGATCGCGAGATTTCCCGCGATTCTCGTACGAGGACCGTGCAGTTTTTGGGCACCTTTAGTGTGCATTTCATGGCCATTTTAATGTGGTTGTCCACCGTATCTGGTGAGTGTGGTGTGTGGAGGTGGTATCACACGTGGATGGGGAGAGCTGTCACCCATGGTAGAACATACTTTATATACTCCAGCTGGAAAATGTATTATATCGTTGCATGCGTCACTGAATGCGTCCAAGGACATTTGTTTGCGACTCTGGACTAATTTGGACATTTCTAGACTAACTGATTGTTTTTATTGATATAAATATAAGTGTTTCTAGCGCTGGGCAATTGGAAATAGTATAGCAAAACACTATAAAGAATTGCTGCCTGCATGTAAAAATAAGTACTAAACAAGCTTTGTGTGCAGCATAGGAAATGACTCAAACGCCAAATCTATTAACAGAGGGTTTGAAGGTCTGTATAAGATACATTTCTCCAATCAAATACATTCTAAGGATAAAAGCTTGCTCTATGCCATTTATGCTGCACACATCCCTGTGTCTATGGTGCATTTCATTTTGTTCATTGTCATTACATATACTGATCGGAGCTGTAACTAGTAGCTTTGTGTTTTTTGTTCCGTATGAGTCATCCTGCCTCTCCTCGGATTGGAGGAAAGCTGAACACCCTCGGGATTGTGAGTCAATTCCAGCCATTCTCAGCTTCATTCACAGATTGATAGCGTGCAAACACAGGCAGCATTTCATTCAGAGGAGTTCATTCATGGAAAATCTCTTCAACTCCAGGATGCTGTCAGTGTGCCATGGGCTGCGCAGGAGATGAAGGATGACACTTCACATGGGATAGATGGACTATCATATTCCTGATCCTGGATTTCATCACATATTCGGCCTGTATTTATACCCACTTATAATCTACTGGCATCTGATCATCTTTTCTAGATCGCTCAGCTTCTCATAGTAGTCATGCATTTTCTTCAAATCCTATTTTTGATATAGATGATTTTTAATGATCATTTGAAGTGCATGTACCAGTTTTACTTTTGCAGACAGTTGTAAGAATGCAATATTTTTGAAATGCTCTTCTGCGTGTGATATGTTACTTAATGATATTCTAAGACAAATGTTTCTTCTGGAAATTTGAGGCTGGCCAATAAGGATTTTACTTTTTACAGATGAAGATGAAGACGATTATCCTCTGATAAAGGCTATGAGAGATCACAGAAAGCTGAGTGGGCAAATACTGCATGAATCTTTCTTGAGATACCCAGTTATGCTTCAGAGAGCAAAATACAGTCGGTTCAGGAATACACCGACAGAAGAATGTGTACAAAACCCCAATCTAAATGCCAAAGGATGTGCCAATTCCTGTGCAGCTGCTGATTCCTTCTTACCGGTTGAAAGCCTCACCTTGGTGACCCAGGATCGTTCCACCACACTATGCACTTTGATACCCAAAATGTCACATTTTAAACTCCCTGGCTCAGGCAGCTTAATGAGGCTGAGACACTTTTCTCTGGGCACAAAGGAGGTGCCCAGGTTAAAACTCAATGATTCCCACAGAGATCAGAGGAGCCCAACTGCTACAGAAATCACTTTCAATAGCTATGTGCGCCCTTCTCAAGTAAAGCAGGATGTGGACACAAATGCAAATCCCCAAGAGGACTGTTTGTTGCCAGATGCTGAGAAGTCTGCACCTGAGCAGAACATCAGCCACACCAAGCATGTCAACATGGGACCGGTACTCTGCTACTGCGTAAAAGTGAGTATTCTTCAATGTCTAGGCCATTGTATTTCCACACATGAGAGAGTAGTAATCATGTAACTGAAGAGCTTGCACTTGTCTATAAAATATGTTTTCAGTGTCATTCACAGGAATCGGCCAAAATTCTTACAGTGGGTGTCCCTGCCGCCTCCACAATAGTCAATTACTAAATTAGCTTTTGTTGACGAAGCCAGGCCGAAAATGTTTGGTTGAACAGTTACTGCAGATGATCAGCTGATGTAATTGTTCCTTTATTCTTAAAGCAGTTTCAGAATATTATTATACAGGATTTATTTAGGGCCCTCAGTTTGTGCAGCTCTTTACAACATATGGGGAGACATTACAATACAATATCACAGAAAAGGAAAAGAAGGACCTTGCTCGTAAGAGCTCACAATCTACAGTACAATAGCCAGAGCGGGAGATTTGTCCATCCACGCTAAACAATCTCTTATTTTATGTCACAGCCAGGCCAAGGTCTTCTATTTATTAGAAGGGATGGTGTTAGCTCTTCAGGTCTGCTGAAATAAAATTCAGTGACGGCTAATGCATTTTGCAACACTAGTGCCCAACGTCTGGTCAAATGTCCAGCCACTGCTTACACGCTATAGCTTTGGCTCCACACACGCTATATGTATGTTTGTGTCCTGAAGTTCGTTCTGTCTTCTTGTGGACAAACCTAAGGTCCCCTTCACATTGCATTGGGATTTTCAGGTGGTTTTTAAAGGAGAACTATGAGGTGCGTGCTTTTCACTCACCTCATAGTTCTAGCCGACCTGTGACAATGAGACTGTGACAATGAGACTGTGACAATGAGATAGGCAGAGTCAGCTGTCAGTTACGCAGCTGGGCGGATCCAGACATAATTGTTGGGATCCGCTTCAGCTGCAGCATCTTAGTATACCGTAAGCTGCAGCTCGCGGTATACTGAGCCTAGGGTGATGGGTGGATGCTAGTTTGTGTCCTCCCGTTACCCTTAGGAGAACTATGGGGAAAAGCCTTAACCCCATAGTTCTCCCTTAATGCATTTTTGAGCTGTTTTTTACGTGCGTCATATTTTTAGCAATCTGCTTACATTTTTCTATTGGGCTCAATAGAAAGCAGTAGCAGTTGTGACATCATGCAAATAAACCTAAAAACCGCTTGTGATGTGCGTTTTAAGTCGATCACATTGAAGTCTATGGGGGCAAAAATGCTCAATATGCCTGAAAAGAAACTCATGTACTTTTTCAGGCTGCAGGAGTTGGGCTACAAGAGTGTAAACAGGAGCAAAAAAAAAAACAATGGGATTTTGTTGTGTTGTAGCTTTGAGCTAGAAAACGCTGAGGTGTGAACAGGGTCTAACAGCGTCTCCATCATTCAGGTATCCATATCCGCTTATTTGATCCCATAGACTTCAATGGGAGAAGAAGTCTATGGGATCAAATAAGCTAAAAAAACATAATGTGTGCTTTTCAACTGTCTCCTCCTCCTCCGTGTAACTATCATTTCATTGGCTAACACAAAAATGCTTAAGGCTGAAAACACCAAGCTCAAGTCTAAAAAGTCCCTGTTCACACTTGCTGTGCATGTAAACATGCACCAAAGCATAAGCATTGGCGCGCGTTCACGCAACGCAGTAAAAAAACAAACATGGCTGGTAAAACGCATGTCTTTGCCCAAGCATTGACGCATTCTACACAGACACATTCCAGCTCAAATTGCTGCTTGAGCTTCTTTTTCACGTTTGTTGTGAGGGGGGAAGTCCATAGAAATAATGAGCTAACGTGCGTCAAAACATGCACAAATGCGATCTGTGGTCACACGCGCCGCAACTGTGAACAGGGACTCAAGGGGATAATGTTTCCTGTTGGCAGTATGTGACATTCCTGTGCTGTACAGCTTCTTATGACAGGCCATGATTTGAAATCCGTGGAATTGTGTACATGTCATTTTAAAAACAGTCCGTCCCTGCAATTAAAGTGTGAAATAATACGCTCATTAAATCACCATTGTTAGTAGTTTTTCCCCTGCAGAAAAAAAAGCTTACACATCCAATAAACTACTGTATAAGCCAAAAATGCTGATGTCAGATGATATACACGCAACAACATTGCAGGAGTCAGACACTGGAGAATCTAATGTATGACCTTGATATACGTATGTCACATAGCTCCTGATCGTCAATCATATGAAGGAACTGTCCCTTTTTTGGAGAATAGCCCAGGACTTCCTTTCATGTTCAAAAAGCCCTTTTTAAAAAAAAAATGAATGTGGAAGCCAGAAATGCTTTTTTTGCACTTAACCTTTTAACAGACCTCCCGTTCACACTTAAACATGAGCATTTTCAGGCGATTTTTACATTTTCTTTGTATATTGTAGCATGTTTTGTGCCTTTTTGAAGCTTTTTTAGTGTTTTTAAGCTTCAGGCAATTTTGTTTTAGCCAATGGAAAGCAGTATCATCTGTGACATCATATGTTGTCGTCCACTCCGGACAGATAGCACGAGTTGAGGGAGCTTAACAAGTGGCTCCGGAGCTGGTGTTAGATGGAAGGATTTGGTTTCCTGGAGAACTGGGCTGACTTTGCAGTCGGCTACCGGCTCTACAGCCGAGACGGGCTGCATCTTAATGGGGGAGGTGAAGCATTCCTGGGGGGAAAAATGGTAGAAAGACTGGAGGAGCTTTTAAACTAGATAATGGGGGGGAGGGCATAAAAATACTAAATTTAAGTTATAAAAACCCTACAATAAATTCAAATAATAAAGAGGAAATTATTAAAGGGGTAATTAGTGGGCTCACTCCAGTCATTAGTGCAAAAGCAGTGAATATAGTAAATCCGATAGCAATAAATAATACAATTAAGCCTGGCCAACCAATATCAAGTAAACATTTGGCCCATAAGACAGGAATTAAATGTATGTACACGAACGTGAGAATGTGGAAGCCAGAAATGCTTTTTTTGCTCTTAACCTTTTAACAGACCTCCCGTTCACACTTAAACATGAGCATTTTCAGGCGATTTTTACATTTTCTTTGTATATTGTAGCATGATTTCCTGTTTTTTTGTGTGTTGTTTTGTGGTGTCTTGTGCTATCGGAGCTCCCAATCCAGGAACACTTTCGTTTTCCCAGGCTCTCCACTCGCCTAAATATTTAGTGCTGACATACTGTATGTCCCTTATGTGGGGAGGTATAATACACTCTCACCAGTTAGTAGGTGACGTGTTGTGCCACATGGAGGCTTTGTTATATTTTGTTCACATGTAGGCCTACAAATGACAGCTATATAACACAGCCTTGTTCATGAAGGAGGGTTGGAAGAGCAATATAAAATACACTATATTGCCAAAAGTATTGGGACACCTGCCTTTACACGCACATGAACTTTAATTTCATCCCAGTCTTAGTCCGTAGGGTTCAATATTGAGTTTGCCCGCCCTTTGCCGATATAACAGCTTCAACTCTTCTGGGAAGGCTGTCCACAAGGTTTAGGAGTGTGTCTATGGGAATGTTTGACCATTCTTCCAGAAACGCATTTGTGAGGTCAGGTACTGATGTTGGACGAGAAGGCCGGGCTCGCAGTCTCCGCTCTCATTCATCCCAAAGGTGTTCTATCGGGTTGAGGCCAGGACTCTGTGTAGGCCAGTCAAGTTCCTCCATCCCAAACTCGCTCACCCATGTCTTTATGGACCTTGCTTTGTGCACTGGTGCGCAGTCATGTTGGAACAGGAAGGTGCCATTCCCCAAACTGTTCTCATAAAGTTGGGAGCATGAAATTGTCCAAAATGTCTTGGTTTGCTGATGCCTTAAGAGTTCCCTTCACTGGAACTAAGGGGCCAAGCCCAACCCCTGAAAAACAAACCCAAACCATAATCCCCCTCCACCAAACTTTAAACTTGGCACAATGCAGTCAGGTGTTCTCCTTGCAACTGCCAAACCCAGACACGCCCATCAGATTGCCAGACAGAGAAGTGTGATTTGTCACTCCAGAGAACACATCTCCACTTCTCTAGAGTCCAGTGGCGGCGTGCTTTACACCACTGCATCCGACGCTTTGCATTGCACCTGGAGATGTAAGGCTTGGATGCAGCTGCTCGGCCATGGAAACCCATTCCATGAAGCTCTCTACGCACTGTTGTTGCACCAATCTGATGGCCACACGAAGTTTGGAGGTCTGTAGCTATTGACTCCACAGACAGTTGGTGACTTCTGCGGACTGTGCGTTTCAGCATGCGCTGACCCCACTCTGTCATTTTACGTGGCCTACCACTTTGTGGCTGAGTTGCTGCTGTTCCCAGTTGCTTCCACTTTGTTATAATCCCACTAACAGGAGACCGTGGAAAATTTAGTAGCAAGGAAATTTCACGGATGGACTTATTGCACAGGTGGTAACCTATCACGGTACCACGCTTGGATTCACTGAGCACCTGAGTGCGACTCATTCTTTCACAAATGTTTGTAGAAGCGTCTGCATGCCTAGGTGCTTGATTTTATACACCTGTGGCCATGGAGGTGATTGGAACACCTGAATCTGATGATTTGGAGGGGTGTCCCAATACAAACATTTGTGAAAGAATGAGTCGCACTCAGGAGCTCAGTGAATCCAAGCGTGGTACCGTGAAATTTCCTTGCTACTAAATTTTCCACGGTCTCCTGTTAGTGGGATTATAACAAAGTGGAAGCAACTGGGAACAGCAGCAACTCAGCCACGATATATATATATATATACACACTGTATATTTCCTTCTTTGTTTTAGTTATGTCTGCTGTCTGATAGTAATGGGAAAACTAATTGATTATGTACCTTGTGCTGTCAGCATGTGGGAGAGTCGGGACACTGCTGTCACACACAAGCCCCCCTGAACTTTGCTCCATTCAACAGAGTTGCTCGTTTAGTGAGAGCGCTAAGATCCTAACCCCTGAACCCTGGGGTACTACTAACCCCTGAACTCTGCATCAACCTATATTATGTGTAGGACAGTAACAGTGTCCAGGTGGATGTGTCGGACTGCTGGAG